CCCCAAAACCCCAAAACCCCAAAACCCCTAAATCGGATTTGAACAATCTGGTGAAATAAATATTATTAGAAATGCAATTTATTAATGATTCTTCAAATAAATTAATACAGTCATATACCAAAATTTAATTTAATTTACAATTTTATCATATTCTCACTTACAATTCAAATATAAATCGGTTTTTTTCTTCATTTAATTTTTAAACCTTTAATTCTTATTTCATCATCATTGTCAAGGCTATGCCTTCATTTAATGATTAAGTAGCTCCTTTTTTTATAATTCCTAAATTAAAATTGAAGGGTAGAAGCTCACATCAATATTCCAGTTAAAGCTACAAATGAAATGATAATAAAATGAGCTGAGCAACTCAAAACTAATGACTTTATCATCAAGAAACAGAACACCATAGGTGCTTCTATAAATGAATCCAGTAAAAATGGGCCTGGATTATCATCTAATTTTGAACTTAAAATAGTTTTCAATGAATACTAACTGCACTGTTTTGAAATCCCCAAACAAAAGTCATAAAAAAGGGAAACACTAAATAATCATCAAGATACAAGTAATTTAGAACAAAAATCGTAGCTTTTTAAAATTCGAACAATATTTAGCACACATATTATTTTGATACCGCACTTAACTAGTTTTCCTTAAATTAAGCACCTGATATCTGTCCAACTTCCAAAGCTGCCATTACCAGCATACTTTATTTGAATTATTCCTACTCATTAGAGGTCTTTAGAGTTTATAAAATAGTCGGTACAAGTAAGCCATTGTATACTGCTATTGATATGCCTGTTCAACATATTTGGAGCATCACATATCTCATCTTATTGCCAATTAGGAGATTTAGGGCTAATTTGACATCTGATTTAAATTTGATTACTCATCTGTTGGGTCTCTGATTATTTAAAAAGAATTAGTAGACAGTTAATAATTAAAACTTTCTTTCTTATACATGCCGTTCGAATTCCAACTCTTATTCAGGGTATTCTGCCATCTTATGAGAGGTTTCCGAATGATTACTTATCAAGTAAAATTGCTTGTCCCTGCTAGAGCTACACTCCCCATTATCAGAAAAATTGAAGTTTGAGATAGTGTCTCTAGAGTAAATGATGCTATAATATTTCTCAGATATTTAACTCATCATTTAGAACGCCAAAAAATACCAAAGCCTTTACCTTTATGATCTGGGTCAGAATTTCTAGCGATATAATTATTTGCACATTACCATAGTACCCCTACTGTGAATCCATTTATAATTGTTGGAACAAATATCTGTACAGTTATCAGTAGAAGTGTTTCATCAATAATCTGCTGAATCAATTTATTTTCATGCTCGTAGCAAGTATAGTTGCTTAAATCCACTAAGCATTACTCAATCCCCCCCCATCATTATGCTCTTTCTTGAACCAAACTTTTTATTATAGCAGTTGAAAATTATGATCCAAATCCTATAAATAGATAGAGTGTTGCAATTATATGATATCTCAAATGCCCAAAGCCATCTTCTTACATAACAAAAGACTAGAGGTCTTAAGATGAGTTAAAGCGCTATAAATCAGAAATATTCCCAATGAAATAGCCAGAATTTTCTTGTATTTTACTAATTTTGACATTTATTTTAATTTGATTCGTCTTTTATATAATAATCAGTAGTATTCGTTTTCATTATTATAACTATCTATTGTGTCCTTTGGGGTTTTGGGGTTTTGGGG